GTCCCTGCCCACACCGCATCTCCCGGGCAGGACTTCCGGCATCGGTTTCTGCAGAAAGCAGAATGGGGCAGTGGCAAGAACCTGGAGGACCTGCACAAGCGCCCCCAGGGTGGGGCACCCCAGCTGAGGGGCAAGGGCCTCCGTGCACACGGTGGCTGGGGCGCGCACGGGGCCGTGACCAGGTCCTCGCCCGGCCCACCTGGGACCCTCCTCAGAGGGCTCCATGGCCGCCTTCCGTGCAATGCAACGCTTCCGAGAGAAACCGCAGAACTTGGAGGCAAGCAGGGTGTCTGGGGCCCCAAAGGAAAGAAGGGGCAGCAGGAGAGGGGATTCAGGGCTGGGGCTCTGAGCACACAGGCGCCACAGGGGGGCCACGGAGGGCGCTGCATCACCCGCCCCTGAAGTGCAGGAAAGGGGGCCACGCGTCTCCTCTGGGCAACGACGGGGCCTGCACTGGCTCCTTGGCCGCATTAGGGGAAAAGCTCTGTGCTGGAGGGCACTGGCAAGGCGGAGGGTCGCGGCACACGCATGCAGGAGGCCTGGCCGGGGAACGTGGGCTCCCTGCTTTGTCTCGGGAGGGGCCACATTCCCACCCAGTAAAACCCCTGCAGGTTATCTGGCCGTGCTGACCTGGCAGTCAGCTAGGAATTTGCATCTGTCATTCCATGGGATCGGTTCCTTTCCACTGGAAATACACTTAGCCAGTTAAATATGGCCCCACACCACACCCCAGCTACCATCGGGGCGACCCCCTCGCTGATGCCCTTTAACCCAGCCACCTTTCCTGGAACAAAATGAATTCTTCAGCTGAGATGCCCACGGCTAGTGCTAATAATGCACCAAATGCCATGCCATGTGTGAACAGAAAGCTGCCATAGCCGAGCCCATACCAGCAGACTCAGCCATGGCCAATGAAACGCCCATTTTGAAACAAAGGATCTGGGAGGATCCAGGAAATTATAGGCTGTTTCAGGTAAAGGGCCTGAAAGCATTATAACATTACGAAGCATATAGAAGGACAAGCCCTGCTGAAAAGGACTCAGCTTGGCTTCTGCAAAAGTAAGTCCTGCCTTATTAACCTACCAAACACAGACAGGGCGATCCAACAGGCTGTTGAGAAAGTCCTTCACCAAAGACTCCTCAGCAAACTTAGCAGTCAAGGAATGAGTGGGGGGAGTCCTCTTGTGGGTCTGAAGGTTGTTAGGGAACAGAAAGCAGAGAATGGGAATGAACAGTATTTTATCTCAATGGCGGAATGTAAGCAGGGCAGCCCTCGGGGTTCTGTATTACGACAAATGCTTTTCAACCTTTTCTTCAATGATCTGGAATTAAGAGTAAGTAACCGAATGGCCAAGTTTGCTAATGACGCAAAGCTATTTAGGCTAATTAAATGAAAAGATGGGGAGTGCCCCCAGAGCGATCTCTCCATGCTGGGAAGGGGGGCATCAGCATGGCAGTGCTGCTCAATGTAAGCAGGTGCAAAGAGATTCACGTGGGGGCAAAAACGCCCCTTCCACGCACAGCCTGATGGGGCCTGAGCGAGAAGGGGGTCTCGGGGTGCCAGTGGGCATCTCGGGGGAAATGTCAGCCCAGCACTCGGCTGCTGTGAAGAAGGCCAACTCCATGCCAGAAATACTTAGGAAAGGAATAGAAGACAGACCTGCGGAGGTGGCCGTCCTCACACACGTCCTTGGTGGTCACTGCGCCTAAAAAGGACGCGGTAGAGCTGGACAGCTCTTTGGAAGGTCAGATCCTGAAGATGAAACTCAAATCCTTTGGCCACCTCATGAGAAGGAAGGACTCCCTGGAGAAGAGCCTAATTCTGGGAACAATAGATGGCAAAAGAAGGAGGGGGCGGCAGAGGATGAGGTGGCTGGATGGGGTCACTGGGGCAGTCAGTGTGAGCTTGGGTGGACTCCGGGGGATGGTGGAGGACGGGAAGTCCTGGAGGAGTGTTGTCCAGGGGGTCGTGGTGGGTCGGATGCAACTTTGCAACTAGCAAGCAGAGCTGGAAAAAGTGCAAACAGGGCCACCAAAACTGCCACTGTGTTCGGCTCTGTGAGGAACTCTGATGACGGGCGAAACGGTTGCGCTTGGAGCGAAGGCGAGTGAGGAGAGACAGGAGGGGTGCTTCAAGTTATGCCTGGTGCAGGGAGGGAGTTCCCCCTCCCGTTCTCCCCCCCCCCCACTGCTTGACCCAAGGAGGGCCCTGGCACAGGGGGGCCCTTTTCACACGGCACACGCTTGCGCCTGGAATGCTCCCCACGGATCTGGGCGGCTTTAAGAGGCCCTGACGAGTTCACGGGGGCGGCGGGGAGCCCAGGCCCCCCACGGCCACAGGCCCCGATCCCATGCTGCCTCCAGCACCACTTGCCCACGTGCCCCAGTGGCTGGCCACGGCGTGCGTGTCCTGCTTTGGCTTCCCACTGGCCCACAGAGGCCGGAGCGGCAGGGCTCTTCCCGCATGCCGCCGGGCTGGCCGCCAGCGGGGCCAGGGCGCAGCCCGCGCACTGGGGCACCCGGCGGTCCCCTCGGGGAGGCCTTTGCGCGCGGCGGAGCGCCCAGGCAGAAGCGCGCCGCCGGAGCCCGCGGCCCCGCGCCGCGAAGGCCGCCCTGCACGGACGCCCGGCCTTTGTCCGAGCGGCCGCGAGCGGGCAGCCCTCGGCCTGCCCCGGAGGCGCTCGCGGCCGCCGGGGGGCGCCTGCCTTCCGTGCGGGGGCGCTTTCCGCGGCACCCTGCCCCCCGCCCGGGCGGGGAAGCGGCGCGGCGCGGCGCAGGAGGGGGCAGCGTGCGCTAGGGCAGCCCCACGCCCGGCCCCTCGGCTCCTGCAGGCGGGCGGGGGGTGGCTTTGTTCCCGCGCTGGAAGAAAGCGGCGCCCGTGGGGAGCGCGGCGGGGCTCAGACGGCGCATTTGCATGCTGGAGGCGCGCCCGGCCCGACTTTCCCACACTGCGCGGCCGAGATAAAGGGCCCGGCCCCCCCGGCCCATCCGGGGCGGCGCTGCCCGCCGCCCCGCTCCCCCCCCGGGAGTGGTCATGACAAACAAGATTAATGTCGCCTCCGCCACCGCGTCCGGCCGCGCGAGGGCTGAGCGCTAGGCGAGGCGAGGCGAGGCGGGCTTCCGCTCGCACGCCCGTCCCCGAGCCGGCCGGCCGGCCGGGATTGCCCGGTGCCCGGCGCCCGGCGCGGGCGCGACGGAGGGGGCGGTGTCAGAGAGCAGCTCGCGCGTCCGGGGTCGCGTGCCGCGCGCCCGACGGTGCCGCAGGTCGTTCCGCGGCCGATGCGCAGGGCGACGCGGGGCCATTTCTGGCTTGCGCAACCGGTTTCGCCGCACTCACAGCCCGTCTCTGCAGGGAGAGGAAGGGCCTCTGCGGCAGATGGGCGGCCGGCATCCTCGCTTCAGCACTTTCGCGATGGGGGGGCGGCACGGACCGAGGCTGGACTGGGGCGCCTCCACCGCCTCCGAGGCCTGCAACGCCCTCCAAGGGGTCCGGGAAGTTATCCAAAGCCCAAGTGCTTGGCTTGGGCCCGGGAGACCTGGTCCCACTGGGAGCATCTCTCTCGGTCTCACGCAGGGCAGGTCCTTCCTCACCCCCAGCTGCTCCTTCTGCCCTGGGACCGCCTGCGTGGCCGGTGCAGCCTTCCCTCTTCAGTTAGCTCCTTGACGATGTTCATGGCCCAAGTGAGATTTGAACCCAGGGCTTCGCACTCCCAGCTCCTCTGACACAACAGCCAGCTGGCTGTGCATTTTGTCCTGCCTTCGCCCTCTTGCAGGGAGCTCGAGGCAGCTCCCCCCCCCCCCCCCCCCGCTTTCCACTGCTTTCAGTGAACACAGGCCACAGAGAGCCACGGAGCAACCCAAGGGCCGCAGCCCCCAGCCCCAGGATCCTGGGTTGTGGGCGATACTTTGACTAAACTATCTCCCGGTGTGCAGCTGGTGTGGAAGAGGCAGATCCCATGCGAGGTGCAGTTAGAAAACAACTTGAGCAGAGAATTCGGTTCCTCCTGGGCTTTTAGGGGCTCATCCTGCCCTTAAAGAAGAACTGCCGATTGCTTGGCCGCTGGACGGCACAGGGCAGGAAGGGGCAGGAGGGAGCGAAGGGCGGAAGGGCAGCGAGCTGGGAGTCCCCAGCTGAGGAGGAGGCCGGGCTGGGCTGGACGTGGAGGCGGTGCGGGGGGGGGGGCACAGGAACCTGCCAGGACCCATCCTGGGCGGCTGCTTGGTGGGAGAGCGGGAGACTCAGAGCAGGCCAGTAGAAGGGCGAAGCCGCGGAACGGGACAAGGACTGAGTTCCGGATCATAGTTAAACTGCCAGGCCCGAGGCCCAAAAGATGGAAAGTCGAAGAACATGGAAAGTTCGGGGGGGGGGGGTTGTTTTGGTCATCTTGTCCATCAGATTCCGGCTGGACCGGCCCTGGCTGGCTGTTGCCCTCGGTGCCTGCACGCTCGCTGGGGTGCGCCGGGTTCCCACACAGAGCCTGGGACAGGAAGCGGGACCGGCCAGAGTCCAGCTCAGGGGTCTTCCAGGGCTGTTCCCGGGCCCAGCGCAGCGGAGGCGCCTGCTTTGCAGAAGGGGCGCTGGAAACGGAAGTGGACTTCACCACGTGGCACCGCCATGGCCTCCCTTCCGCTCACCCGCTGCAGCTCCCTGTGTCCTTTTCTCCGTCCGCATGGACAGCACCTTTCCGGGAGCACGTTTGCCCCTGCTGACGCTGAAGTTGTTCCTGCCCACGGGACATGGAGCACGGTCCCACCTGGGACCCGGAGGTGGCCCTGGGCTCAGAGCACCCAAGAGTGCGGCCCCCCACCTGCATGCCCTCCAGGGTGTCGGCTGCAGCCGCCCCAGTGCTCCCTGGAGAGGCTGTCAGAAGCACGTGGGGCAGCTCCGCTTCTCAAAAAATGGGTCTGCAACATTCAAGTGCTCGTCTCGCTGGGAATGTTCCTCACCAGACAGACAGCCCCCACCCTCAGCCCCCGCCCTGCGTTGCAGTCTGCCGGGCATGGCGTGCCAATGCTCCCGCCACCAGCCCCTCTCCCGCCTCGTGTGCCTCCTTGCGCCCTTCCGGGGCGAGAAGCCGCTCTGCCCGAGAGCGCCGGGTGAGCAGACGGCCAAGGGCAGTGGCCTGTGGCCTGGGAGGTCTCTGGGTGTCCCGTGCACCCCCAGCACGAGAGGAGCGCTTGCCCCACCTGTCCGCGGCACTGAGCTGGGGGGCCTGGCCTGGCCGGGCCATCCTTCCCAGGTTCCGGGGCGGCGCAGAGAAGGGAGCCGAGCCCAGCACGCTGCAGGGGCCACCTGTGCCATCTGCAGGGCACGCTGCAGCTCGAGGCGCCGCAAAGGCCCAGAGCTCCCGGCCTCGCAGGCCGCAGAGCCGCCTTCTGCATTGCTGCTTCCAGAAGCAGCTGATGGTGGCGAGGCTGCTGGGTTTGGGGCGGGCGGGGGGGGGGAGCTGGTGACTGAATTGGTCCCAGCTGCACCTTCTCACAAAAGCCCCGGGGCCATGGATGTTAATGCAGATCAACCTCCGTTGCACAACCTGACAATAAAGTTAATAAGCCATTCAAGCACAAGGGCTCTCACAAGCACGAGGAGGCAAACATCCAGTGATCAGAGGAGGGGAGCTCCCGAGGCCTCCCCGTGGGAGGGGCGCGGGGGCATCGAGGGGCTGATGACCAGCTGCTCCGGACCCCTCGCGGGGACAGGGCGCGCGCTCGGGCGCGGGCGGGGGCGCGGGCACGGGCACGGGCGGGAGAGGGCTTGCTTCCGAGCCCAGGGCGCGCAGCGTGCGCTCGGGGTGGGGGCCGCGCGTGCCTCCGCCTGCCTTGTCCTGCCGCGGAAGAGGCGGCGGCGGGGGAGGGGGCGCTTCGCCTGCCCCTCTTCGGGTGACGGGTGCCGCTGCTCGGGCGCGCGTGTGCGTGAGAGAGCGCGAGCGAGAGCGCACCGGCCTGCGTGGCTCAGCCTCCGCGCTGCGGGGAGCATTCGGGCCATCGGTCGCCGCAGCCCCGCGCGGCCTAGCGGCAGGCGGGCTCTCGTGGGCCCGGGCCGTTCCGCGGGTCGGGGCTCCCGCCGGGTGCTCCCCGCTTCCCGCGCGGCCTCCCGGAGCCGGGCCGGGCCGGGCCGGGCCCGCCGCATCCCCCCGCCCTGCCTGCCCGCGCGCTCCCGGTGGCTCGGCGGGGAGGGGCGAGCGGGGCTGCAGCGGCCCTTGGCTTCTTGGCTTCCCAGATAGACTGCGAGAGTGAAAATTAAATGCTAATGAAGCCCTTTGATTTAACAGCAGACAAGCCGCTCGCTGTTGCTTTGCTCCTAGACTATTATTATGCAAATGAGCGGGCCCGCGTCCTTCTCCCCGGTTAGCGGAGCTCCGCACCCGGCTCTCGACGGCTGCTCTTACCTGGCGGACGATCATCGCGCCGCGGCCGGCGGAGGGCGCCGGGCAGCGGGGCTGGGCGCCGGGCGCTGCGGCTCGCCCGTAGGGCGCCAGGAGGCCCCGGCCGGCCCCCTTTGTCGTGCCGCCGCTGCCCCTCCTTCGCTCCGTCGGTCACTCGCCGGCCTCGCCCAGAAGGACCGGGCAGCGCAAAGCTGGAGCAGAAACGCCGCATTGTTTGGCACTCCCCGGTCAGCCCAGGAGGCTGCTCAGAGGGTCTCCTAGGCACCTCACTCCTCAAACCCACGTGCAGGCAGCCATGGCCACCCACCCAGGCCCAAGCCCGGCATCTGAGCCCCCCTTTCATGGGTGGCTGCCAGGAGAAGGGCCTTTTCTGTCGTGGCACCCCGATTCTGGCGCCAGCTCCCCAGAGAGGTTTGCCTGGCACCCTCTCGCTGTTCTTTTAGGCACCTGGCGAAGGCCTTTTTATTTACCCGAATTTGCAATTGAGATAATTTCAAACATTTGAATGGTATTTATTACATCTTGGGCTACTGTGCCTTTATTAAGGACTGAGGGTATTGTGTGGTTTTATGGGGGGAGGTCTGTGTTTGGTTGTTGTGATTGTACTGTTGCGATATACTTGTAAGCTTATATCATGTAGATAGTTGTTATATTTTGTGATCCACCCAGAGAGCCATTTTGGCTAATCCCTCCCGAATCCCTTTGTGGAAGCCCCTTCCATTTTGGAGGGATGGCACAGCCCGCACTACCGCCCTCCTGCGGGGGGGGGCGCTGCACACTTGGAGCCCCGAGGGCACCCCAGGCCCGTCCCTCCCCTTGCCCAGGCGTCCTGGTTTGCGGGGCTACCCGAGCTGGGCAAGGGCAGCAAATGCAGCCCAGCCAACCCCACGTGCCTTGGGTTGTGGGGCGGACCCGAACACAAGGGACACGTGTGCCCCCCCGCCCCGCTTCGGGGCTACTTGCTACCCCTTGCCGGTCATTCCATCGGGCAGTGCCCGGACTAAGGGGGGCTTCTCTCCCCACCGAGCCCGGGTGCGCGTGCGGGAGGCGGCGGGAAGGCCTCCCCCTCGTCGCCGGCCTGCAACGGTCGCCCTCGGGCCGCCGCCCCCTTCCAGCTCCGCGCCCTCTCGGGCCAGGCTGGCGGCCGCGTCTCCGGCTCGCGGGACTCACGCTCGGCGCCCAGATCGCGCCCCCGCGCCGCAAGCCGGGGCCCTCGGGAGGCGAGGCCTCTGGGAGCCTCCTCCGCCCCGCCGGGCCCCCGGGCTCGCGAGCTGCCTGCTCCCCGGGCCTGCTCCCCCCCGGGCGCCGTACTGCCAGTGCCGCCGCCCGCAGCGCCTTCCGCTCCGCTTTCCCCGCCCCGCCGACTTTTCCTGCGCCCCGTCCCTCCAGAAGGGTACCTGCCGAGCCGGTGAGCCCCTAAAGGAGCGGGTAGCGGGGTGGCGCACTCAGGGGCCCAGGAGGTGCCCGGGGCTGCTTCAGGGCGCGGGGACCCCTCTTCTAATGGGCACTCTGCATGCGAACCGCGCCGCTCATCCCTTGCGTGGCCTCCCGGCTGGGCGGGAAAAGGCTTCCTTCCACAAGGGGGCAGCAGACCGGACCGCGCTGGGGCCCGGTTCATCCGGATTCAGCCCCAGAAAAGTTTCGGAAGATCAGTGTTCGGCAGTGCTGGCGAACAGGAAGCGAGGATGCAGTGGCCCGAGCACGTGCAGAGTTCTCCCCTTCCCACCACGGAGCAGCCGCTGCCACAGGCCTGGGATCAGGAAGAGAGTTTTGCAAGCCTCCGGCCAGTCTGAGCTCCAGCACCGCCTCTTTCAGGGAGGACCAGGGCTTGCTCTCCCACCTGGGCCTCCTCCTGAGCAGCCTCGGGTGCTTCCGTTGCCTTCCAGTCTGCCAAACTGCAAACCGCAGCTTCACAGATGACACGCAGTTTAGAAAAACCGAGCGCGTGCTCTGCAGAAGCCTCCAGTTTGCGCCTTGCAACAGGCAGGGCTACCGGCTGGCCACGAGTCCCACGGGCTGAGGATCTGCTGCACGGCAGAAAGACCCTCTCGTGGGGTGCAGGGGTGTCTCTGCCACCTGTACCAGGCCTGCTGCTGCCGAGTGTTGGGAGAGCGAGCCCTGCTTTCACCTTCCACCGCACTTCTGTGCCATTAAGCGGGCTCAGCCCAGTCTCACCGCAGCGGGGTTTGCAGTGGCTGCTTATTTTGACAGCCTGGGGCTGAGGTTGTGGCATCGCGCAGGCGACAGTCCTTGCCCACAGACACTGGCCTCGAGGGCCACCATCGGCCCAAAGTGCGGCGTTTAAGTCCTTCCTCAAAGTGCCTAGTCTCACATTTATGTCCCTCTTGCAAGAGACCCCACGGCTGCTGACACAGGCGTCCTCTACTCCACCGTTATCTCACAGCATCCTCCCGGTGAAGCAGGAGGGTCTGCGAGTGAGTGGCTGGCCAAAAGGGGCCCAGTGAGCATCATGGGCGAGTCGGGGCTGGAGCCGGGGCCTCCCAGGCCTCTGCGGGGCACTCTCACGACCACTTCATTGTGCCCACCGCCCTCAGGGGCAGAGGCACCAGTGCTAAGCACACCCACTGGGGCGTGAGTCCTGCCTGCCTTGACAAGCACTGCCTCGGATGTCATGCCAGCTGTGTGCAGACATGGACAGATCTGTCCATCGCAGTGTCTCTTGGGTTCTGGTTTTTCCAGGCTTACATGCAGTTTGACCCAATCTTAAGAATTTTCCCAAGCCATTTCTTTCCAAGTCTGCGAATTTTTAACAAGTTCACATGAAATTCATTGGCACTGTTCTGCTCGTTACCCTGTGTGCCTGCATCTGGACACAAAATTTGCCTAATATGCACACTTCTTGTGAGCAATTCTCCTAATATGATATATTTTTCATATTCTCCCTAGGGTACATAGAAAGACAGAGTAGTAGACTTGGGAGGGGCCCAGGAGGCTCTCGGTCCAAGCCCTGCCGTTGCAGGTCCGAGTCTGCACCACCCACCCAGAGGGCTGCCCAGTTCTGCCTCTGGGATGGGAGAGCCCACAGCCTCTCTAGGCGACCGGTTCCACCGTTCCCTTCCTCTGACTAGGTGCACATATTTGTGTGCCATTTCTCCTACTGCCTGCATTTTGTATGCATTGTATGACTGCAAAATTGGGAGGCGTGTGAACGGCAAAGGCTGGCAGGCCAAGTGATCCTATGGCCCCTGTGCAGCACCCGGAGGCCACCGGATCCTTCCGGTTTCTGGCTCCGAGGGTGCAAAGGGCTCCCACCTTGGGGCTGGGGGGCTGCGCTCGGGTCCCTGCTCTTCGCCCTCGCTGCTAGCACAGAAAGAGCTGCGCAGGCTGCTTCTCCCAGGAGCTTAGGGGCATCCTGGGGGGTGGGGGGGAGGGAGCAGTACCACCAAGACCAGCAGTGCCCCAGCGGTGCTTCAGCCTCCTTCCCTCTTGCTTCAAGGTGTCCCAGTCAGAAAGCTGGACTCCGTCCTGGAGCTGCTTTTCAGAGTGGGAGAGGCCCAGTGGCCACTTGGGCTCCAGACCCCCCACCCTCCATCGGGTGCCCGTCAATCTGCCGCGTTCCGCAGCAGCTGCGCTTAGGTTCATGAACTGGCTCAAAAGTGCCGGACCAGGTAAGCGCACAGTGACGTGTGGCCCAGGCTGACTTCTCCCACGCTCTGTTCACGTCTTTGGAGTGTAACTACCCTCACCCTCGGGTCACTGGGCCTGCCAGACAGAAGCCTGAAGCCAAGGCTGGAAATCCAGTGGCCATAAGCAAGTCTGACCCTCCAGTCGACTCCAGACTACTCCGAGCTGAAGGGAACGTGTCCAGAGGCACCCTGTTTCAGTCAGAAGTGGCTGGCGCTGGTCCGTCCCTCACACGTGTGGCACATGGCTGATGAGCAAGGCCTGGGGGAGACCCTCGCTGGGCCACCTGGGCCAGAGACACTTTGGCGCCTCAGGGAGGAAACTGGAGAGCAACAGGACCCGGAGGAAGGAGGACACGCCGGGGGAGTGCCTCGCTGCAAAGGTGGCACTGGTGTGAGGTGCTCGGATTCAGGGGAGGCCGAAGGTGGACAGTCGCAAGCGGGGGCTTCACCTCATAATGGTTGGGAAGAATGTGTTTGGCCAGCACTTGACAAGTTTCATCAGGAGGGCTTGACACCGATGGCTTAACAATGGGAGCCGGGCTTAAGCACCACAGTGGAGAGCAGCTCCAATAGCTCCCATTAATAGTCTTCTAAAGACTGTGGGAAGAAAGCCAGACTACAACGCACATGGTCTTTGATGTCTGTAGACTAAGGCCTGGAGTATGGGAAAGAAGCACCACAGACTTGAACCCTTAATACAGAAGGGTGAATGCAAGCTGGTAGGTATATCTGAGACCTGACGGGACGACTCCCATGACTGGAATTCAGCAATTAAAGCATATACTGTAACTTGTTCAGGAAAAACAGAAAAACAAACCCAGAAAGGGAGGTGGACTCGAGCTCTATGTTGAAGACCCATATCTCTGCACAGAAATACAGAAGGATGAGCTTAGCAGCCCCATCCAGAGAATCTGGATTAAAACAAATGAGTGAAGAACAAAAGGAGCATTCTGGTCCGAGTCTACATTGACCACCCAGTCAAGGAGAAGACGAGAATGAAACTTCTGAAAAACGCGTTGCCCGTGTTTGAGGGAGATAGGAAATAGTAGGAACGGGGGGGGGGGGGGGCTTCGATTTTCCCGCTATCTGTTGGAAGCCAAATTGGGCCAAGCGCAGCCCCTCCTGTGAGGAAATTCCTGGCTTGTGCTGCTGGTAACACAAGTCCGAAAGCGGAGGAAAGAGCCAGAGGAGCAGTTGTCCTTGACTTGACACGAACCAGCAGGGAAGACCCAGTGGACAACGCGGAAGCCACGGGAACTCTGGGGGAACGCAGCTTGCCAAACTCGGATTCTGGATCCTAAAGGAAGCAAAAGCTGAGTGTACCCACACATGTGCCCTGGATTTTAGGAAAGCCGATAATTCAGAACAGTGATAAGCAAGCTCCCATGGCAGTGGGAGAAGAAGTCCAAGATGGATGAGAATTCTTTAAAAAGGAAATTCCAAAGGTGCAAATGCAGATAATTCCAGTAAGAAAAAAAGGTTGAAGAAAACAGAAGCAGGCAATGAGCCTTCACAGAAAGCTTAGAGAGGCATGAGAATAAAAAGGCCACCGAAGGGAAGTGGAGGGCCAGGCTCCGGAGGAAACAGAGAAACAGAGCGGGTCAGAAGGGGCCTCCTGGGCCATCTAGTCTGACCCCCGGCTCCACTCGCAGCATGCCCACCATGTGCATGTCCAGCCTATCCTTGAACACCCTCGCCGGTGGGGCCTCCGCCACCTCCTGTGGAAGGAAGAGGGCAGCCATGCAGGGATGGAGTCGGGAAGGCAGACGTGCTCATTTTCGACCTTGGCTCAGTCTTTTCCCAAACGCAGGCCTACGACCTCCTCAGTAAAGCTGAAGAACCAGCTGAAGGAGCAGAATTGCAGCTTGAGATTGGTATGTTTATTCCCCATCCTTTTTCCTCCGAGGAACTCAAGGCATCTTCCGTAATTCCCCCCCTTCTTCTCAATCGTATCCTCACAGCAACAACCCTGTGAGGTTGGTTCAACTGAGAATCTGTGACTGGGCCAAAGCCACCCAGTTGGCTCCATGGCTGAGCGGGGACTCAAACCCGGATCGCCCGAGTCCCAGTCTCACACCTTTAACCACTGTACCAGGCTGTCTTTCTGGCGTCTCTCCAGTGATGGCCAAATGATCGAGTAAAGCCCCCAGTCCCGAACGAGTTCAAAGCCCAGTGAACTGCGTCCTAGAACAGGGCAGAAGAACTCTCAGAACCACCGGCTGTTGTCCCTGAGAAATCATGGAGGACGGGGGACGTGCCGGATGACTGGGGGAGGGCACATGCTGCCCCATCCTCAGGAAAGAAAAAGGAGAACCTGGGACCCACAGAGCACAACCACAGGATGGACTCCTCGAGAGCAAATCCTGCCAGGCGCACCTGATTTGGGTTTTGGTGGGGCACTCCCTGATGAACGGTGGGAATGCTGTGGGTGGAATCCACCTTGGCTGCAGCAGAGCTTCTGGCAAAGTGCCCCATGACCTCCCAATCAGCAAACCAGCCGCAAGTGGGCGCCATGGAGCACCGATCAGGCGGATCCACAGTTGGCTACGGAACCGACTCAAGGAGGGTTCATTAATGGCACCTTCTCGAACTGGGGAGGGGTGACAGGTGGGGTGCCGCAGAGTTCAGTCCTGGGTCCAGGGCTCTTCAACACTTTCATTAATGGCTTGGATGAGGAAGTACAGGGGACACTTATCAGATTTGCCGATGACACAAAACTTGGCGGCATAGCTAATACCCTGGAAGACAGAAACAACCCTCTAGGCTGGAACGCTGGACTGAAATCACAAAATGACATTCAGTGGGACAAATGCCAAGTTCTGCACCAAGGAAAAAGAAACCAAACGCATCTTTACAAGGTGGGTGATTCTTGGCTTAGCCAGACAACTGGTGAGAGGTATCGCACTTTGATTCATGAGTCAGCGATGTCATGTGGCTACAGAAAGGGAAATGAGTTACATTTGGGCCGTGTTAATTGAACGCACACTTCAGATCCAGCTCCCCTCTACTCTGCACTGGAGACGCCTCGCCTGGAGTCCTGCCTCCAGTTCTGGGCACCACGGCTGAAGAAAGACGCAGGCAAACTGGAGGAGGTTCCCTGTAGGTCAAAGAAGACGCTCTGTGGACAGGAAACAAAGCCCTGCGAGGAGAGGCTGAGAGACCCGGGCATGTCCAGCCTTGAGAGGAGCAGTCTGGGGGCAGATACAACAGCGCTTTTCAAATACTTGAAGGCTGCCAGAGAGAAGGGTCAGGGTCACTTCTCAATCATCCCAGAGCGCAGGCCATGGAATAACACGGTCGAGATCCACAAAACCAGATCCTAGGTGAATGTGAGGAAAAACTGCCTGAGTGTTACGGCAATATAAGAAGGGACCAGGGAACCAGTCGCTGAGGGAGGTGGCAGCTGCTCCCACCTTGCAGGCACAGAAGAGGCAGGCGGACAGCTCTTGGCCAGGGATGCTTGAACTGGGAGTCCTGCGCTGAGCAGGGGGCTGGGCCCGACAGCTTCATCGGCTGCTTCCAGCTCTACTGTTCCAGGATCCTCTGCTAAGCAACGGTGCAGCCAAGGTTTAGACGTACCCTTGTTATTTATGCATTTATTTATTAAATTTATATCCCACTTTTTTCTTATCTTGCCAAGAACTCAAAGTGGCTATGAGCTGGGAGGGAATGCTTGGAAACCGCCACGTTTTTTCGGAATGCTCATTGAGGGACCTCCTGAATAGCAAACTGCCCATCACAGAACTAAGTTGGTTGGTTGGAAAACATCAGGACCTCAGGGTGCGGGCCTTTGAGAGGGGATGCTTGGAAAGCACCCATAATCCTGCAGACACACCTGGGCTCATGCGCTGCCCGCCTCCTCAGAGAAGGCCACCCCAGCACCTCCTGGGGCACTGGGGGTGCATCTGGGCTGGCCTTCGGGTCTCCTCCTGAGGAGGCCGGTTCTGCCCCCCGGGGGGCAGAGTTCTTTAATACGCTCAGAAGAGGGCCCACAGGCACCCCAGGAACCGGCTGTGGCACCTCCCTCCTCCCCGGGTGCTCAATTTCTCCCGCACAGTAGGCACACGTGAGCAGGGGCCAGGTGCATGTACAGGCACGTGTGCACGGATCCCAGGCCAGAGGGATCCCAGTGGGCTCGGCACACCCCCGGGGAGCGCTGTTCCCGGGCCCCTTCCCACCGCTGCCGATGCAGGGCTGGCAGGGACGCGGCTGTCCGGGGCGCCCCGGCAGCCCCCGCCCTGCAGAGGACCCCTGCGCCGCGCGGCCCCGCTGCGCCCGTCCCCGGAAAGGAAGCCCTCCTCCCGCGGAGGAGCCGGGCAGCCGCTGCCCCTGGAGCGCGCGCGGGAAGCCCCCGCGGGCAGGACCCTCCGCAGGGAGCGCGCGCTCCGGGCGGGCGCGGGAGGCCCCTTCCCGGCCCGTCGGTGTGCCCGCACGGGGAGCAGGGAGGGGGTCGGCCGCGCACCGGCGCGACGGGCAGCAGCGCCATCCGAACCGAGCCCCGGATCTCTCTCGGGGGTCCAGGCCTCGCCCGCGTTCCCGGGCCACCTCCGGCCGCCCGGCCGGCCTTCCGGGATCTCGCGGCGCGGGAGGCGCGCAGAGAAAGTCTGGCCGGGTCCGCCCGGAACGGAGCCCCCACGGGCGTCCGGACTGCCTCCTGCCCCGGTCTCCTCCGGAACCGCCCGCCCCGACCGCCCAGATGGGGTCGCACTGCAGCTCCCATCATCCCTGCCCGTGGGCGCTGATGGGCGCGGCAGCCCGCCTGGGCCTGCTGCCCCCACGTGCTGAAGCTGGACAGAGCAGCTTACCTTCCTCGCGGCACCGTCCGCGCGCACCCGCGGCGCGCGCACAGGGGCCGCGTCGCCCGGGCCGGGGCGGGGCGGGGCGGGGCGAGGGGAGACGGTCGTGACCGGGGAAGGAGGCAGTCCGGACG